CTCATCGTCCTCCTCCTTTCTCTCTCAGATGCAGTTGAAACGATTTTTAAAATTCACAAATTATAGAATAGATGATAGTCTTTAGGGGTAGCGGTTTTTTGTCCGTGGAGGTGTTTAAATTTCACGTCTGTGATCTACAAGTACAAGGCCTCTGTGTTAAAGAGGTCCAGGTTTTTCAGTAGTTACTTCCTCATGTATACTCACTTTCTCGAGGATGATTCTTCAAACCCCTCATCAAATGTCAGCTTGAAGAATCTGTTCCGATAAGGATATACTTAAGACAACAAATGTCCACCACATGTTTGTCCCCTCTCCCACTTTTGATTGATCCTCGTTTGGAATAATCCTTAAAAAATGTGTGATCAAGGTATTGACCTCAAAGAGTCTAGGGTTGCGCCTGGCTTTGCCCATAATGCTAATGTAGTTCACTGGCAGGAAGACAGGAACACCCTTTTGGTGCTCGTTCTATCAGGCTATGGTAGGAATCAATGCCATGTTGTTATTTGTGAGTATGTCTTTTCGCTAGATACTTATGTTCCACTGTCTGGAAGTAGATGACAGATGCCGGAATTGAAGACGCAAGAAGAACAGATTTCAAGTTCATACAGATGGCAACAGTAGAAAAAGTTCAATATTTTTCACTTTAAAGGGCCTATTACACGTACAGGCCGACCGGACAGGTTTCTGGACGTACGGCCAATCGTAACGTGTAATAAGAAATGCAGCTCAAACTCAAACTGTAGGCAGACACTCAGCGAATAGCCGGCCGGCCGGATGTAAAGAACTCACAGCCGCTGCCTGTGAATTTGACGTCCGGCCATCTGGCCTGAGGGGAGTGCTGACTGTCTTTGAAGTTTGCTGCGCCAGGGACAACAGAACTAATTTCAAAATTATAGAAAATCATGTCGTAGATAAAAAAAATAATGCCAGATTCAGAATCAGCATATCAAAATTAAGGAAATGGCTGGTGAATGACTTGTTTCGTTTTTTGCACTTTTTCCGTTCCTGCACAATTTTTATGTTTTGCGCGCCATGGTGTACACATGTGTGAAGTTTCACCCAGACTAGGCCTAGTGTGTAGAATATGTTGCTCGCGAGGTGCGGCCGCCTTCAGGTCAATTGTGGCGTGTAATAATGAACTAAGTTTCCTCGATTTCATCTTGCCTAGAACCTGTCCGGTCAACCTGTACATGTAATAGCCTTTAATAAAATTTTGTAGGCCTAATTGGTAACCTGGCAAAGCAAGATTTTGAACGCATCAAATAGGAAGGCCAGTGACAACTTATGGAAAGCAGGCTCAGATGGCTAGGGTACTACATGGAAGATTGGAGAGAACCAAAGTCCTAAGTGTATATAATATAGGCTATAAAATTTACTAAGACAATGGGAAGAAAAAAATGTTCAACCTCTTTTGAGAATCAGGGTGCCTGCTTGAGGGATCATGTGACCTCAACGGAGACTAGCTTTAAAACATGAAAACTTTTTAAAACAGAAAATTTCTTCCAATAGAAATGTAAATTGGATAGTCTCAAGATGAAAGAGAAGGAAGTAGCAGGGGTTTTATTCCCACAGAGTCACAATAGATGCAATAGAATGCTTTCCTTTCGCTCATAGCATCTTGCATAAAATAATCTGATATTGGCCTAATTCACAAACAAAACAATGCCTGCCGCTGTGACTTGAGAATAAATTAAGCCACATTGTCATTATAAATAATACCAGCTAGGAGTTAGTAACTCTTTTAACTCTAAGTGTATAGTGTGCCAGTTATTAAGGTGGTGCACTGTCAGTAGGCCTACGATTTTGCCAGGTGTGCCTATCGAATTGGCACTCAGCATATAGCTTGGTTGTTTACAGTAATAAAAATTTCATGAAATCCCAGTCATTCCATATCAAGTCTTTGTTATGAGTTGTTGTGTTGAAACTCAGAAATATTTATGTGACAAGAAAAGCAATATATTCTGACCTGTTGCCTTTTTTTTGTCAGAATAAAAACCTGATGCGGTTGGAAGTTGGTCCTCAAACTCTGCTCCTGAAGACTAATGAAAAGCTAATCACTGGGCCAATGCCCATGATTGTCATTCCTCCAGGGTCTTATTGTGAAATCAGTGACCCAGTGAAGTGAGTATTCATGACAAGGGGACAGCTTGCATGTATGTTAAATTCATTTTTTTGGGTTTTTAGTTTCTGTAGGTGTTTTTGTTTTTACACCCTCATCAACACAGGTAGATAATTTTGGAGGCAGGCTTCAGCCTACCCATGCTTAGGGGGATGCAACATCCCAGCAGAAAGACTGAGGTGCTCAAAAAAATTCTCCCCACCCTAGAATTATACATGTCTTCTGTGTGCCGTGGCAAAGTGTCCGACAGTTACACTGAAATAGATAAAATTATATCAGTGATGAGAAAGAAGAGTAGGTGCTAGATAAAAATGAGAATAATGAGTCTAGGGAACATGAAGGGTATGAGGACTGATGGTCCAACTCCCAGCATCTTATTGTGCCCATAACGAGTTGTCTCAGTGAATGTGATGATGACTTTGGATAGCAGAGAAAAAGATATAAATCTTTAAAAGTGTAGTTGTTTCAGAAGGTTTTTAAGGTGGTGCACTGTCAGTAGGCCTACTATTTCAGAATACGATGTAAAACTGTCAATAGTAATGAGTCTTTAGTGGATAGCAGCTTACTTGGTTTTTGGCATCATGTGTGGATGGAAACTCGGCGACATATTTTTTCAGATTTTAATCTATTCTTAAACTTAAATTAAGAACTTTTGCACCTCATTGGGGTCTGCTGTATGCCTAAAATAGAATTTCATTAAATGTTTCATAACATATAAAGGGTTAAATGGGGGGTTTTTTTTTAAAATATCCCTGTCATCAAAGTTTTTATCATTTAAAAATAAGAGGCAGGCTATTTTGACTCTTCCCATCAGTGCCTACTCAGTCCCGGCAGCGTACATTCTAGCGAACAAATGGAAATACTTGATAAGATATATCTCCCCCTAGAGATTACTTTTGTTATTTTCCCTGAAAATGAAGAACTTACATTACATCGTCGATGCTGGTTTACTTTATAGTTTTTAAGAGTAATAGACAAACTTTTGAGTGTAGGCATTTATGTCCCTTTATCCATGTCCTCATAGCATGTACGTGTTTTGCTTTAAAAAAAAATCTTATTTCAAATTGTATTTTTGCTTTCTTTCCTCATAGAGCTTATGTTCATGGAGAAAAGTGTGAGCTTTTACTAGGTCAGACGAAGATCAAATTCCATGGCGTAAGTGCATTTTCCTAGTTTTGAGCTTCCTAGATGTTCTGTTTATAAATTTGCTTAGTTGCCTTACTAAGATGTGTATACGTGCTGATCTTTTTACACTATTGAGAAAAAAAGTTAATTTAATATGATAAAGTAAAGTCCTGAAATTGCACTGCCTACCTTAGAATTTATTTTTTTAAAATCATCACCACCATAAATCTGAAACCTATTGGTAAGTCAATTACCTATCTATTACCTATCAACAGCATGCAAGGTCTTTAGCTTGGTCATCAGTGTTAAGAAAACGGTCATCCTTACCCAAGAAGGTGCAGAGCAGAGCCATATATGGCTGAACGACCAGGAACTTGGGACAGTGGACAAGTTCT